GACAACGCCCCGACGAATTCGAGGGAATCGACGAAGTGGCCGTGTGATACTCGAAGCCCGTCGAGAGAGCGAAAAGGCAGCGCTGGCACGCCTCCAAATCTTCTCAGCTCATCGACAACGCCGATCTGGCGACGTTCGATGTCGGCACAGCAGGCCGCGAAGTGTGTCGTTGCTATTTTCAGGTAGTACGTATCCCACTCTGCGTATCCACTTACGGGCTCCGCATCAGACTCAGATAGAGAGCTTTAAGCAAGGCTTTCGGCGCGGCCTTCTGCCCGCGCTGGCAAGATAGCCTGTCAAGTTGAACGCCGCTCGGCTTGCTTCGAGCACGCGCGACACATTCTCATTCTCATTGTCAGACACATGCTCGTTCTTTCTTCGCTTGCCGCCAGACAGACGGCCAGCCGATTGATTAACTTTTCACGAGGCGGCCGTTGGGCGCCTATACGCTTCCGCCGCGCACGTGCTCGCAACCGATACGAGCAGCAGCTCCCTCGTCTCGTGGCTGAACACCGACCTTGCCTTGCTTTGCCTTGCCTTGTCTTGCCTTGCCTTGCCTTGCCTTGCCTTGCCTACTGCGAGACGACGTTCTTAGACCTCGATTTATTCTTCGATTCGACGTTCAATGGGCGTGGATTCGTTCAGAGATAGAGCGTGTGTTGGTGGGTTGGTGTTGATAGAGTATCGGTCGACGATAAAGTATCTGTTAAATGTGATGTTCGAGTGGTTGATGGGACGTGGTGGCAGAATGATAAGGTCCTGTGACTTGGAGCGCAAGGGTTGGATGAAGTGATTTTTATTTTGTAGGAAGGAGGTTCAATGACACGACGATGATTGAAGTATAATTCTTAGTGACACCTCAATGTTCTCTTTCGAAGATTTCTTCGAGATACTCATCCTCGCAAGTTTGGAATAGAGAGAAGAGATACGTGTTCACCTATTCGAGGAGACGTGAGAAAGAAAGAAGAGGCAGTTTCATAAAAATTTGAATTACAATTGAACAGTAAATTAACGTTGTAGTAGCCTAACGTGTCGGCCTACGCAATTTATCAAATGCAAAAAGAAGCATTTGATTTTTTTTTTTTTTTTTTTTT